ATCACAAACAATCCAACACATTTGACTTCCTTTAACTTCTACTGATTAATACATTGATTAGATTAAAGTTTTCTCTCAATAAGTGTATTGGTACTTAAAGTATCTATAAACTGTTACTTATTTGTTCTTATTTCATCTAAACCAAAAATTCTTTTTTCTATCCATAAAAAAGTAGAGGAAATTCTTATTTACATTTTCCCATTATCATTAAACCTTTCTTTTGTCCTCATTGGCTATCGCTGGTATATCTAAGTCTGATTTTTATAATTCCTGTCTACCGTACATCTACCTATAGGAATTGCCTAAGGCTTTTGAGTGGAGGAGATGGGTAAAAGGGGGCCAATATTTTTCACCCCAGAAGGGAAACAGCCATCCTGACCTGACAGAACGGCCATTCTCGAAAATGGTTCAACAGTTGGTCTTGAGCAGGGACACACCGCCTCGGTTCTGGGAAATAAAATGATACCTTCCCCAATTTTACCAGGGAAGCCATTTTGAGAAGAAGAAAAAACCCTGTGAATGTGGAGGGCTGACAGTACCTAGTTAAATATACTTATCTAAAGTCACATGCACACATATCATAGCACAGGGCCTGAATACCCTAAAGGGCACCTGACCCCATCTAATCTTGGAAGCTAAGCAGGGCCAGTCCTGATCAGTACTTGGATGGGAGGCCACCAACAAATAATAGCTGCTGTAAGTGCTCTATATTCTATAGCATTGAGCTATGGCAGTTAAAGGGGTGTCAAGCATATTATTATTATTATTAATAAACATTATTATTTCTGCAGTGTGGATGCAGCCATAGTCAAACCACACTGGCTCTTATACCTGCTGGGTGGACTTGGGCAGGTCACATTCTCTCAGCCTCAGAAGAAGGCAGTGGTAACAAACCTCTGCATAGATCTGGCTGAGCTTTATTAGGGCAGAGTTGTCATAAGTCAGGGTTGACTTGAAGGCACATTGCAATAACGACAGCAGTACTTTTCTGATCCTTGCTGGATATTCTACAAAAGGGGCAGAGTAACATATTTTGGACAAAAGGCAGGATCCGATATGGGAAGGGTAGGTACATACCAGCAGAGGGCAGGATTGTGGGACCAAACTGAAATCAATGGGGCCAGATGAAATCCTTCCCAATTTGGAGATGTTCCCACCAAGCCTTCAAAGCCCAGTCCAAGTCTAGGCACGCCTGATCAGAGCATGGCCTCAATGCAAACAGCTCCCAGGCTGCAAACCAGGAGTCTGTTCCATGCAATCTGTTTATACAATGCCTTATCGCTGATCATTTATTGGCAATAACAGCAAAAGTAGTTTGCGTGATGGATAGGGAATTCCCTCCGGTCTCAGCCAGCCTCCCATCCCTACTTTACAAATTCCATTGGAGAGCCATTCCTTCGGAGCAAAGTGATGGGCAAAGTGCACTTCATGGACCCCAATTTTGTTCTCAAGACTTTTTTTTTTAAATAGTCATCACATTTTGTTACTGAAATTTGTCAGCAAGCCACTAAATCCATCATCATTGACAGGAAGAGGAACAGAATAATGTTCGCTGAGATTTTATGTATGTGGCTATGATGACAAAGCTCCATCATCGTAGCTACATCTGCTGATATTCCCTCCAAAAAACTTACCATCTTCTGGGGGTCATATTCAGATATACAACTATAAATGTTCATCCCAAAGGTTACAAGCTTGTAAATTGGACTTACTTGGGGGTTTGCATAGACGATTCTATGATTTCCTATTATTTGAATGCAAAGGGATCTTGCAGCATCTTTGAGACTAATGGAGAGAAAGAACTTGGTAGCATAAGCTTTAATACACTGTCTATAGCAGTAGCTCCCAAATTTTGGTCCTCCAGATGTTTTGGACTTCAGTTCCCAGAAGCCCCGGGCAGTTTGGCCAATGGTAAGGAATTCTGGGAGCTGAAGTCCAAAAGATCTGGAGGACCAAAGTTTGGGAAACAGTGGTCTACAATGTGTCAACACCAACGTAAAAACCCATAGCCGCCTTGGAACAGCAGCACATTTTTCTGGTCCAGTAACTTATTGTGGCAAGATCAGAGGAAACCAGGACATGTGTGGCTAAGAACCTCAGAGTGTGGTCAAGATGACAAAAGTTATAAATGAGAAAAAGTCTACAAGCTAGGAGATGATGCAGTCGTTTGCTTTTGCTAAGCCTTTTGGGAAGGGCACGATTCTTCCCTCTCCTCTCCTCTCCTCTCCTTTCCCCCCTGTTGAGTTGAATGCAAACCACTTTTGCACTTTGGGCTCAGTTTGTAGCAACCAAAGTAAGCTGAGGACAAAGAGAGAGGAGGAGAGAGAAACTGGGACATATAAAAAGCAGCTGAAAAAGTGGGACAGCAGAGGATTGATCAGGCTGTCTCTGCCCAGTTGCGACAGTTGGAAGGTATGCTTTCCCAAACTGGGACATAAATGGTTGATCAGAACAACAGATGGTCAGATTAATACCTGCATTTTAGAAAGGGACTGCAAAAAGGGCAATGGTGCCAGACTTTGGCCATGGATAGGTCAGAACCTGTCATGTAATCCAACCTGACTCCCTTTGAAAACTTCCAGGTCTGTGTTGTTTTCTGGCCTGAGAAGGAGGAAGAAGGGGAAAACCCTGACTGTAGGATTAAAAGGGTGGAGGCCTTAACAGGGCAATTGGTTGGGGCTTCACCTGTGTTCATTCTCTCTGGCATTATTCGTATTCTCCAAAGGCAACTCTCATCCCATTTTATCAAAGAGACACTTTTGGTTTCAGTTTGAAAGCAATGGCTCAGAAAGGCTTAAGCTACTCTGAATGAGTTGGGCAATAAATATGATCCTGGGGGTGTAGTTTGGAGGTGTCACCATCCTGTTTCATCCTCCCTTGCTGGTCCAAGTAACTAGAATAATCTCCTCCTTCTGCTCCTTTCCCCCTTCCCTCTCTTCTTCTCCCTCTCCTTCTCCTTCTCCTTCTCCATCTCCATCTCCATCTCCATCTCCATCTCCATCTCCATCTCCATCTCCTTCCCCTCCTCCTTTTCTCCTTCTTCCCCTTCTCCATTGCCTTCTTCATCTCAAACTGGATTATTTCTGCAGTGTGGAGGCAGCCCCTGTCTGTTTCATTCTGTTGTTTTGTCATTCCTGGAGAACTTCTTACTCTTTTTGGTGCCTAAAGGCTCTGGGGCTTCCTTTGTAGGTCTCAACATTTCATCATTTTTTCTCTTTGTCCTCAGTTTTGCAGCAATCCCCTGGGATTGCTGTGCTATAATACAAACCCTCTTTTTCTCAACCACAGTTATGTCTGTCATGGGATTGTCAGCAATCTGCAGTCTGCAAAAATTGTCACCAATCTGACAATGCAAGTTCATGCTTCCTTGCCTTGGTCTGCCTGCTTTTTTGAAGCAGCCATTTTGGTATTGGGTGGACCTTTTGAACAACCCAACCCACTTTGAAATCGACCCAAGAGGAGCTGGAAGGGATGTTTCCAAAGAAACTATGTCGGTTGAATGTGCAGCCCAACGCTTGTCAGCTTGCTTCTCCTTCTTCGAAGGTTGGGAAATATCTTGGCTCTCATCTTTCCTGTTATGATATATAACTGATCTGTGGTTGGAGCACTGAAGTTCACAACCTGCTCTGTTTTGGAAAGAAAAGAAAAGAAAAGAAAAGGAGAGAATGAAAGAAAAGAAAGAAAGTGAGTGAGTGAGTCAGATAGAAGAAGCCCTTTCTTGCAGATTTTGGCTGCGACGTTATGTAAAATGGCAAACCTCTTTTTCCTGGGGAGGGCTTGGGCCTGGGGACAATGTCTCAAAAGGGGAAGCAGTCGCTGTTTATCCGCGCTGACCCAAATGTGCAATGCTTCCTGTGGACAGAT